AGCTCTGTTGGCCTGGAACCAAGGATGACACAGAGCTGAGGGTTGGGAGCAGGGAGAGGCTCTGGGAGGATGCTGCTGGTGCTTTTTACATACATAGAATGGTAGAGGCAGAAAGGATCTCCAAGGTCATTCAGTCCAGTGATTTCCAGACCTGAATTTCATGGGCCAGTAGAATGGCCAACATGGTTGCCAACTTAATTTTAACAAAAAAGGACATAAAAACTACCGTTATTTTTATCATCTCATAAAAGAAAGGCTATAATGGCCTTGGAAAATTACCGTTCTTTTTTTTTTTTTTTTTGGTGAGGAAGATTGGCCCTGAGCTAACATCTGCCAATCCTCCTCTTTTTGCTGAGGAAGACTGGCCCTGGGCTAACATCCGTGCCCATCTTCCTCCACTTTATATGGGATGCTGCCACAGCATGACTTGCCAAGCAGTGCATCGGTGCGCGCCCGTCGGTGCACGCCCGGGATCTGAACCGGCGAACCCTGGGCCGCCGCAGCGGAGCATGTGCATTTAACCGCTTGCACCACCAGGCCGGCCCCGAAAATTACCGTTCTTTTAATTGAAAACATAACACACATAAAAGTGAAATCATTATCACTTTCCTCAACTCATAGGGAATATGAAGGGTTCAGACCCCAGAGGGTGTGCTGAGTGCCCACTATAGCCTTGGACACAGGTCCTAAGGGTTTCACTAGAATATTTGCTATGTTTACTTTTCCACACTTCTTCCTGTCATATGTTAAGAAGATTAGGCTCAAGGGAGATGCCATAGATACCAAAAGAGAAGATGTGTTTTAGACAATTCCCCACTTTGCCCTGAGAAAATCCAAAAAAAAGTGTTTTTAATTTTTTGGCTAAGCTTTCAACTATACTCTCCAGATGAAATTTTCAAATGGTGGTGATATGCAATTAAATCCAAACAATGTATAGAAGTGTACTATATGGAACTGTGGAATTTAGCAGTCACTTCATTTGTATACAGTTTTAAAGTCTACAGAATCAAGAATTTTACAAAGATGACAGTGACATTACTTGCAGTTAGTTAGAAATTTGCTTTGAAGGGCTGGCCCGATGGTGTAGCGGTTAAGTTCACGTGCTCCACTTTGGCGGCCTGGAGTTCGCAGGTTCGGATCCTGGGCACGGACCTATGCACCACTCATCAAGCTATGCTGTGGCAGCATCCCACATACAAAAGAGAGGAAGATGGGCATGGATGTTAGCTCAGAGCTGATCTTTCTCAGCAAAAAGAGGATTGGCAACAGATGTTAGCTCAAGGCCAATGTTCCTCAACCCCATCTCCCCCCAAAAAGAAAATTTCCTTTGAAGATTTCCATCAGGAAGTTAAGTTTTTTAAATGTCAAGAAAATTTTTTGTTTTTTTGTGAGGAAGATCAGCTCTGTGCTAACACCCATGCCAATCCTCCTCTTTTTGCTGAGGAAGACTGGCCCTGGGCTAACATCTGTGCCCATCTTCCTCTACTTTATATGGGACACCGCCACAGCATGGCTTCACAAGCGGTGCAGCGGTGCGCGCCCGGGATCCGAACCAGCCAACCCCGGGCCACCGCAGCCCCGGAGTGCGCGCACTTAACGGCTGCGCCACTGGGCCGGCCCCTAGAAAGTTGTTTTTGAAGAATAAAAAACCTCCTGACTTACTAATTTTTACCTGTCAGCAAAAGGTTTTTGAGAAATGTGCAGATGTTATACTGATTGGAGGAGGAGACGGAAATGTTTCCTCTTTGGGCTTGAAAAGCAATCAGTACTCTAATATTTGTACTTATGACCAAGTTAGGATATAGCAACTAATAAGTTTGCTTCACCTACAGTGTGGTTCAAAATGTGCACCTTCTGATGAAAAGATTTAATGCCTAGAACACAAGGCAACCCTCTCTTTTCTGGGGGAATTAATTTGGGGAAAAATATATCTTATAGTCTGACATGTACTTGGAAGCTAGAACTGAATTCTAGTAGCCTTCATTGGAATAAAATGCAAAAGGATTCTTGACTGTTTTCCAGACTAGTGAGGGACAGCCAGACCCAAATCTGAAAAAATGAAAGGAGAAACAGTAGTTGATGTGACATGAAATCAGGCCAAATCAAACAAGGTTTGATATCAGTTTGTCAGTTTTATTGCTTTTGCATCTTAAGCTCAGCACAGCAAGGTATTGATTTTTCTCTTTAATAATTAAATTTCAGTACATTTGACAGCAAATGAAATCTCTTATTATTCCAGTCCTAAACTTTAAAAAGCAATATATTTTAGAAACAGTTAAGAAATAAACTTTTCCTTGCAAGTTATTTTAAAATATGTATTTTTCCATGAACATTTATTTGTACTAAGTGGTTAGTTATTTTGTTTTTAATTTTTTGGTGAAATCAATGACTCAGTTATTGAAAGGGTGCCATCTTTCTAATGAGCTCTTCATATTTTTTATGAAGCCTTACTTAGAGCCTACTCAGCTGGGCAATTGGGCTGATCCTATTCAGAAAAGACACAGGAGCAAACCGTATAGAAAATAAAAACTTTATTTTTTCAAGTTTATAAGATAGTTCCCATTACATATAACATTATGGCCAAGGAGTCTACAGCCACGAATGCCCGCAGTCACATAAATATATCCAACCAATAATGCCTTTTCTTGCTACATGAGGCATCTGAAGTCCAGAGGGTCATGTTTTGAGTAGAAGTCGTCCTTAATGGGATGGCTCCTGTCAGTGCATTAGGAAGCAGCCAAGGAGCCTCGCTTGCTAGAGCTGTCTGACAAGAGGAGAGGAAGGGACAGAGGGCCTGCTGATGCGGGATGGGACAGAACTAGATTTTCTCTTGTGGTTTAAAATATTTTAGAATCTCAGAATTCAGATTTGGCTTCTGTAGGATGAATATCTGGGGAGTTCCAACTTTTGGATGAAAATCAATTTAGTGGTAAAAAAACAGAAGCTTGCTTAAGAGGGGCCCTAACTGCCCCTTTCTGCAGGAGCAAGGAGAGGAAGCCCCCAAGCTGATCACCCTTTGTCTTAGACCATTGCTCTCAGGAAAAGGAAGAATGTGGCTCTGCCCCTATATTCCTCTTCCCTGTGGTTCAGTGGCACTGACACCCATTCAAGGTATTCATATCTAGAAGCTCCATATGGTGCAGCTGGAGTTCACCAATCAGATTCACTGGGAGCTTTAAAGCTGAGTTTGTGTAAACTGCGAACAAGCTGTGGCAGAGGTCTCCTGGGACACTAGCTTTGCCCCACAACTTGCAGAGCAGAAGACAGGAACACCCCAAACCAAATAAAAGCCCAAATAGGCATCTAAATCTGGAGCAGGCATTCATTCTCCTGGACACCACCAGCTGCCCCAGGGGCACTGGACAGGGTGATGCTAAGGCACAGTCAATTTTACATTCGAAAGTCAAGTCACCTCTTAAATCCAGGACACACCTGACAATTCCAGATCCTCTACTAGAGACAGCTCTCACCATGAAGTGTGCAGACCCATCTTATGGAACCCACAGTGCCCAGCTGGGGGAAAGATTCATCATGTGGCTAATTAGGAACTCTTTCTAGTAAAGAGACCTGCCCCCTTGATGAAAGGATGCACAGTATCCTTTGGCTCTCAGCTTCCAAGAGCTCTCGGTGCTACCCACTTATTTTCCTTTCCAGATCTTTGTGCTGGGGAGGAAAACAGGATCAAAGAAGAGCACTATGTTCTCTGGACAATTCATTTTAGAAAGAGGAGCCAGGAAGCTCCCATTTTCTGTCTGCCCTCTAAACGAGGGCAGCAACAACCAGAAAAGAGCAGAGGCTGCTCTCCTCAGAAAGCTTCCTCACCTCTCTTAGCCAATTTCAAGTTCCTTTTGCAAAGACCTAAGCTGGGCACTCGGGGCAGGAGGGAAAAAGGCCATTTTGAGAAAACGAGTCCAAGTCATATTCTGGGAATAAAGAGCTTCTCCCAAAGGGCAGGGAGAGAGAAGTGTTTGTGTGTGGACCTGTGTGCATGATGGGGGTACCACTCCACAGCCTCACAAGCCTGAAGCACAGCACCAACAGGGTCACTTACATCCAGGGCAAGAAACCAACAGCTATACTGCCAGCACCGAGAGGGCTTGGGGCCTAGAAGAAAAGACCCATCCTAGAGCTTTCTAAGATCAATTATCAAGCAAGGCAGAGCAGCAACTGGGCAGCTATGCTGAATACAGACCAGGGAAGGTTGGCATCTGACTACATAACCCCGTCCCCTCCCCCACCCCATCAATGGAAACAAGGCCAAAAAGGCAGGTAAGTAATGAGCACTGACTTCAGCTCCTCCCCACAAACCTCTTCCCTAAAATTGTGAGTCATGAAGCACTTTCTCAATCAGTTCTGAAGGAATGTGTATACCAGCCTTTCTCTGCTGCTATCTGGGTGACCTGGCGTTGGAAGGAGTTTGGCCTCTGTGCTGCAACATCTCTGGAAATGGATATGCAAAATCTCTGGGGACAAGCAATTATAGCTGGGGCTGGTCAAGTGATGCCTCCTACTGAAGACCCAGACTGCATTTCTCTGAGGTGCCTATATAATCACCTCTCTCTGTGCAGCCTGGGAGAGGCTGAACTTCCTCAGCTCTAAGGAATTTTATCCTGCTCAAGCAGACGCCCAGGTAGGTCTTGGAAGGATGGAGCATCCACAAACATAGCTGGGCTGTAAGGCTGGGACTAGTGCCTGGCACCTGCCAATCTTCTCAGAAGTCAGGCTGAGAGAGATCCTGCATTTGGCCCAGGATTAAGTTTTCAGGCATGGAGTAGGGGATCCAGCACTCTCATTTAAATCAGGAAAGTCTTTCTGGCCCTTTAGTTTCCCATTTTAGATTGGAATTTGAAAAGTGGGAAGAGTGTTCCATGGGAAAATTGGATTTTGATCACAACAATCTCCTCTTCAGTTTCAGACAGAGATCTGGGTAAATATATGCCCAGAATACCCTTCATAGGCCTTAAAGGCTTCAAAGGAAGTCAAACACTTTGGTAGTTTTGGCCAAAATGTAGTTATACGCCTGTTCTTAGACTTAATTTAAATTCTTGGGTCCAAAGCCCAGGGTTTGGCCAGAGCTGTATGGAGGTGATGTGAGGTACAGAGGGCAGGAAAGGGGCAAAAGCCCAGCACTGATGACTAAGAAGGATGAGAAGGCTGTAGGGGTGAGCATCCGCAGGAGGAAAAGGTGAAATCTTGTTTCAAGAGCCAAAGAAGCAGAAATTCATAAGAAGCCTTAGTCCCTTCTCTCCAGTTTGGAGGTAAGCCCCCTGGGACACAGTCTTTGAATGAAAGAGTCAAGCTGAATGCTTAGAATTTACTGTCTAAGAGGAGGAGTTTCCAGGGTTGTGCCATTTGGTAAAAGGGGAAGAGCAACTGGAAAGGGGACTGAGGCTTCCAAGATGGGAAATATCAAAGTCTAAAGTTAATCAGTGTCCAGTGCCCCACAGTTCCGCAAACTAGGAGATGGAAGAATGGAAGAAAACCATCCTAGAGAGCAGACCACTGGAGCAGCTAAAGAGGTGCTACTGTCACAGAGAGGTATTTTAGATATTTTAATTACTATTTTCCAAGGAAATTTTACATACCCCTTTCTTGCTAGAAAAAGAAAGGAGGGAAAACCTGCTTCAGAGACCAGACCCTTGCCTATAAAAATAACATATACATTCACTGGGAATATGTTCTACAGCTAAGGAGATTATAAAGACTGCAAGAGATGTTATTATAAAAGTCTGCCACGTTCATCCTATCACCACAAGTTAATAGCAGTTCTCAATCTGGTCATGGACTACGAGTGCAACTCTGCCCCAAGATTTTCCTTTTCTTTTTCTTCATTTTTTGAAACAAAATAAAACAAAACAAAAACCAGAAGAATTAAAAGCACTGTAGCTGTGGTGAGTCAATTGTTCTCTCTCAATCCAAATGTCTCCTGCTTCTGTACAAGGATGAACACGGGCTGCTGTTTACTCTTAGCAAAAGTAAGCTTCGTCCCTTGCGGCTGTTGGTTCTGACTGTGTTCGCGCCAGCATTCCACGCAGAAAGAGAGAGAGAGATTTCCCAGTTGGTTCCGGTCTCTAGCTCCCTTCAGGAGTGAAAAGGAGCTCATGGGGAAGGCTCTTCATTCCAGTTCTTAGAGAAAATCAAGCTCCAAAGCCTGGTGGAGGGACACTAGGTCTCCATGGTTTGTGATTCTCCAGAAAGGCATGTTGTGCTGGAAGAGAGGGGGGATAGCTGGTTAACCCAACTTCTTTTGGGAGCTTATATTTATCCATACCCCTTCCTCCACAGACTTCCCCCAAGGTACTCGGTAACCCTCTCTGTTCCTGCCCACCTCATAGGGCTCTCATAAGGATTAAATAAGTCATATGTATAAGGACTTTGTACACCATAGGACACTTAACAAATGTGAGAGATTTTTATTAGGTTTCAGTGGTAACTCTGTGCTTTTATGAGATATATACTTGTTCTAGCTACTATGGAGGGTCTTAAGGATCAAATAAAACGACCCACATAAGAAATTAGTATTAATGTTTCCTTACAGATGGTCAATTTCCTATAAGTTTCAGAGCTACAAGGCTCAAATCTTGTCCATGACCAAGATGCAGAATGTACAGATCTGCAAAATAATAATCCTATTATGTGGTCAGAATCATGTCCAGAATACTGTGCCATATAAATAATATATAATATATACAATATAATATATAATAATATAAATAATATAAAATAAAAGCCACATTTTAAATAAGGGCTTTGAAAAATGCAAGTGTTGGAAATCATGTTCTATGAAGCTGAAGGAAATTAGCTTTACCGATCATCTTGTTCAAACTGGTTGCAAGTTTCCAAGAATACTAAAGTCCTAGAACAGTTCTTTTGGCAGGTAGCTCAGTGTTTTCTCAAGCCTGTTGCTCACCCACATTTAAAGCTTTTAATATACAGAATGAGAAGCAGACTTGTTATGTTGTGCTCAGGAATGCCATACTAGGACTAGGATGTGAAAGTTAGAGATATAATTTTAGTTCAATGGAAGGAGGAACATCCTAACAACTTGGAAGACCCCACAGTAGAACAGGGAAGTAGAACTGGGAAGCCCTCTTCTCATCCTTGGGTATATTCAAGTAAGGACTAGAAAGTCTTCTGTCAAAGAGGCTGCAGAAAAGATCCCTCACAGGGTAGAGATTGAACTGGATAGAGAGCTCTAAAATATTTTCCAATGGATATATTCTATGGTAGATGATTATAAGCATCAGCTTAGAGACACCAACTCTGCTAATGACTTGAGCTGTTCTTTATCTCCCCCACTCCCTTCTTCTTCAGACCAAGAAGCACTAATGCCTATACCCACTAGTTTCTTTGCCAGAGAGTCAACAAGCACTTTAGAATCAAAGCTTCAGAGATAATATGTGAAAAAAAAATCAAGGTCCTTGAATTGCCACATAAAGTGGCAAATGAAAACACAATGAGGTAATAATGCCAACTGATTACCAATCTCATAGTTCATTAATAATTGTTGAAAGTTTGTATGTTAACTGGATGAAGAAAATCCAGACAGGGGGTCCTAGCTGGCAACCCACTGCCTTCAAGTCCAAGAAACAGAGTTGCTGGAAGAAAACTTGGGTAAAGAGGAAAAGAACTTCTGTAGATCCATTTAGCAGATGAGGAAACTCAAAGAGGATAAGTAAATTGTCCAAAGTCACATAGCTAATAAATGGATGAGATTTGAACCCATCTGATTTTAGATTCCATAGCCAAGACTCTTTCATCCACTGTTTCCTATATTAGGGATGACCTGGAGTAGCAGTTAAAGTCCAGCACACTCCGGGTTCATGCTGAGGCAGCGATCCATATACAAAATAGAGGAAGACTGGCACAGATGTTAGCTCAGGGCCAATCTTCCTCAGCAAAAAAAAAAAAAAAGTGATGACCTGGAGCTGGGACCTGCATAGTGAGGAAGTTAACATCAGAACAATCTTTCCAGGGTTCAGAAGAAAGGAGTTTCTCTAAACAGTGCCCAATTGATTGTACTGGAATTTGAGAATCTGAAGACTGGAAAAGTCAGAGTGATTTGCCTTTTTGTAGTCAAGTCTCATGCTCCTGAGAAGGCACTGCCCTCTACGATGAAGATGGGGGATGGGGCCCACACTGGGTTTAATGATGGTGGTCTCTGTAGCAGGGCTGAAAGATTTTAAGATTTTTGAGTAGCAGGGAGGAGGGAAAAGGGGAAGACCTAACAACTTATAGGGAAAACTCCATTTGGGGAACAAATGACCCTCTTTCTCTTTCTTTAAAGAAAAATGGGAGAGGAAAAGGAGGAAGAGAAAACACCGTAAATGCACACCAGATTGCTAAGATTTCTGAGTTTTACTGTTTTTCTAACTGCTCAGTGCATTCCTACATAGACTATTTTCTTTACCATGGTTACCTGTTTGGCTGCAATTTCTTCATCTCGTCCATCTCCAATCACTACGTATGTGACTTTCTTACCAAACCTTGACACAATTCTCTCAAAGCAGCTCTCCTTACCTGATGAGAAAAAGAAATTTCCTATTAGAACATTCCTCCCCATCTTTTTTTCAACACCAAAGAAAAGGGCTGCTGTTAGATTCACCTGCCTATGCTTAGACAAAATAAGTTGCAGTCCATGTAGTTTGCTTGGTGGGGAGTAGGGGTGGCAGCTAGAGATCCAGTAGGCCCTCTGCACAAAGAATGTGAAATTATGCCATTAAAACAACAACAGACTTTCTAGGCATTGTGTTTTCTACGTTATTTTAACCTTCACACTGAGGGTGAAGTCCCTAAAATCTTAGTGTGGGGGAATTTTTATAAATGGGAGGCTAGAGGGCCTAGCCAGTGTGATAGCTGTGCACACCCCCTCCCTCTTCCATATCTCCTGTACTTTACAGCTTACAAAGCAGTTTTCAAGTTATTCCTTCATTTAATTCTCAAAATAATCCAGTGAGATGGGTACCATGCCCTATTTTACAGACGAAAATGGGGCCCAAGGGATTACTGACTTGCCCCAGATCACAAACAAGCTAGTAGCTAGACTTTGGGCTTCTGACTCCAAGTCTAGGCTCTGGCCATTGTGCCATGATGAAAGGATGATTTTTGAAGGGAAACTATTGTAGTGCAGGAAAGAGAAGTGAAAGCATAAGGCCCTGATTTCTTGTTAGTTATAAGTAATAGGCAAACAGTCATTTCCCTCCAATTCTTCATTTTCCAGAAACAGTCCTAGGCATTGGCCTTACGTCTTTCAGCAGGGGAGGAGCCCCAGAGTACCAAAGAATATGGCAGCAACATTTGCCACATCCAGAATTTCTTCATTGTTGTACGTTGTAACTACAACTGAGCTAACGTATCACTGAAATGGACTTTGGGAAATGAGTGATTTATTTAAGACGTACATTTTTTTTTCTTTTGGTGAGGAGGATTGGCCCTGAGCTAACATCTGTGCCAAACTTCCTCTATTTTGTATGTAGGATGCCACCACAGCATGGCTTGATGAATGGTGTAGGTCTGCACCCGGGATCTGAAACTGTGAACCCTGGGCTGCTGAAGTGGAGCATGTGAACTTAACCAGTATGCCACCAGGCCAGCCCCAAAATGGGTGATTTAAATCCACTGCAGACAGTTCTGAGTATCTGTCTAATGTGGGTGGCAGTGTATCAAAATTCACATTCTACCTGGAAACAACACCTAAAACATGCACAGATGATACTGACATGCACAGATGATACTGCTGTGGGAAAGACACTTTATTTGCATAAGTAAACAAAAAGGAAATTATTAAATTATTTCCCTTGCTCTTTCTTCATCATCTCTTTATACTTTAATTCCCTGCTTCTGCCATCTTCTTCAGTTTAGCAAGGTCCTAACTCTGCTTCCTTCTTCATCTTGCTCTATTAACCTTCTCATCCTTTCTTCTTGCCAGATGCAGTGACTTAGCACTAGAGTACCTGTGTGAATAAGAAAAAGGTGCCTCTTCCTTAAGGCACTTGAATGCCATCTGCTGGAAATTGTTGTAATAAATATACAAATACATAAATCTAAGATGACTACATCATAATTGACAAGAACCTACCCACCCACACTCAGAAGTCTTGCTTGGCACATCTGAGCAACTGCAGGTCTTTGACACCCCTAGCCCAAGTGGCACCTCAAACCAGGTGAACACTAGGCTACTCTGGGCTTCAGTCTTGCACTCATAATACAAGGCTTGGCTTAGGTGCACTTAGGTCCCTTTCAGTGCTAACATTTTACAATAGCATTGTCATGCCTTACATTCACATCAGGCATTCAACTGATGTTTGCAGAGTAAATGCATACTAATGTCACAAATGATTCCGTGGATGATTGTAGTCCATGTTTTTAGCCACATTTCAATCATTAAATAATTCAACTAATAATGAATTCTTATTATGTTCAAAGTGTTGAAGAGTTCTTTGTCTAATTCCATTCCAACCATTACATCCTTACAACCTAAGCCAGCCTCTGCTAGACCCACAGTCTAATTTATCATCTGCCTATAATTTTCATTTATTT